ATTAGATAGAGCACATTAAATTAAACCAGTAGTTATTTGGTTTATTAGTTCCATGTAATACTGTGGTGCAGGGTACCTGGAAGCCAGGGGGATGGTGCTGGAGATGATGTTCTCCTGTTTCCCCGAGGACTGTTAGAGTAGCCTGTGTGTAATTCCTCACTCTGACAGTTTTATACCCGTGATAAAGTGGAGAGTTGTGCTGAACTTACAATCACGTATCTACTTAAAACTTAGTTTTGTGAGAAAAGATGGAAAAATCAGTTTTGTGAAAGAAACACGAGTGTGAAAATGTTATCTTAGTTTCTTAATGTGGGGTGAAAGACCCAGGAAAGGGGGAATGATGGACACCTTAAGCTAGTGCTGTGTCCTTTCCCCACGATCATTAAAATCTCTTCATCTTTCAGAGATTAAATTGAACTGCAGGAGGAAAACACCACTCTCCAAATACCCACTTGCATAAGCAGTTAAGCAATCGAGGCCCAAGTCTGCAAGCTGCCTCGTGGCGTGCGGAGCGCCGGTGGGCTGGGAGGATGCCGCTGATCCCGATGGCACTAGGCAGCCCTGTGGAAGGGGTACCAAAGGATGCACAGACTGAACGCTGGTGGTAACGCAGCGTCCGCACGCGGTGCTGGGTGCTGCCGGGCGCTCAGTCGCCGACTGGGCAGTGCCCCGCCGAGGCCGCCTGCGCCCGTTTGCCCGCGAAGTGATGAGGATGGTGAGGAGCTGGGGGAGGCTCTCCGCCTCGCCGTCATGTTCCCAAGCCACACAGCACTGGGATGCCCCAGAAGAGGAGGAGGAGTGAGTCGGTTGCCCTCAAGTAAGAAGAGGTCCTGTTTTCCACGGTGCCGGTGAGTGCTCCAGCAGTGATGGGGCTCCCGAGCTCCAGGTGCACCGGGGTGCTGCTTCTCCAGCCCCTCACTGCAGCCTTCCTCCTACTTGAGGAGTCTCTCAGCCTGCAGTTCATCATCCGATGGCCAGACCGGGATCTGGGAGACAGTTGGCACTGCTTTTTGTTTTTGTGACTAGCATTATGTTGGTAACATCCCAGCTGCCAGGCTGAGAAGTGCCAGCAAGGGGTTAGAGCTTTTGCAGGGTCCATGGTGGCTGAATGCGCTGTGTTCATCTCGTCTTCTGGACAGTGGTAATTAATTTGCACCATTACAAGTAAATAATAATGGAGAGCTGTCACTCGGAGTATTGCTGTGTCAGAAGTACAAAATAATGTTGCTAAAGGGTATCGTTTAATAGTTGGCTTTGTTTTGGGAGATCTTTATATTTAAATATTATATTGGATTTCTTAAAGAGTGTGTTTTCCAGGTCATGCATCTAGGTGGAAGAAAAGATTTATGATCGTTTCTAAGGCTTGGTTTCCTAAATTGCAGATCTATACCAAAAATGCAATAACGCTTTCTGAAAATGGGGTTTGTAGCAAGGAGTTAAAGGTTCTTTCTGCCAAGAGTGAAAGGTGCAAGTGGATCGCTGGCCACGAGCCAGGTTCCATCAGCTCCACAGAAATATTCATAAGGTAGATCAATAATTCAGCCTGCTATGCAAAAGGAATATTGTGTTTGACTCAGATTGCTCTGCAGTGCCTGTTCAGACATGACTGCTTGTTTTAATTTATTTTCCAGCTGAGTCTTAGGAGTGTTACTAAGATTAAGAGTTTCTTTGGGAGAACTTGGTTCGACTATGTAGTGTATTCAGGTTATTTTGAATAAATTTCCTTATTTTTTTTTTATCCTGAGTGTTCTGAATTTTCATCCACTTGGTGAATTGTTAATTCCCCAGTGTTTTCAAAGGGCAAGTTAACATCAAAAATGGGTAGGATGGCAGTAACATTTCCTTAGTTAGTATGACTGAATAAAGGGAAAACATAATAACTAAATTTAACGGTTTTGCAAACATGCATTTTTCTCCCTGTCTTTAATCCTCATATTTTCAATCTTCACTAGAGAGAGATGGCTTCAAGAGAGTGGTTTTTTATTTCTTGTGCTTTATCAGCAAGATAGAAACAACCTTGTAGTTGCAGAATCTCTAAAACTTGTGGGGAAAAAAGTCCTTCTATCTAATCCCAGAGGAAATTTGCAGGGCCAGATATTTATCCCACTTGTGGATGGAGCCATATCGTTGCAGCATTCAGTAAATGTAGCCTCTGCATTTTCAAAGGGAGTAAAGACTTTAATTCCTACTCCTGTAGGCTGGAGGCAAGAAATGCGTTTTAAGCCACCTTCTAGGGAGAGACTCGGTGCTGCGCGAGGGATGTGCCTTGACTGAAAAATTGAATTGCTGCTGGGAATAGTTTGCTTTCTGCTCTTCGAAAAATTCTGTCTTCCAGGCCTGCAATTATATGTCTTTTATTTATAAAACCTCTCCTCCAAGAGCACTTGGAAGTAATTTCCCATTAATTAAGCTCCTACATATCACATGATTCTATTACCTGTATACTCATCCGTTGTATGTACTGGCAGTGGCATCTTGTACGGTTTGTTAAACCCACTCGTAGATCATACGTTCCAACTGCATCAATAAAACTCTTTGACTTGAATAGAGAGCCAGAATAATAATGACAGAGTTTCAGCGGAGTCATGGTTTGCCAAACGATTCATCTGATAAACTGAGCCACGTGATTTGGCACTGTTTTATTTCTGCAGGGACCAAAAGTTTTCCCGAGCTGTTAGCTGGTGATTGCATGACTGGTGCACCCCTTTTACGGGGGTAAAGGGGTGCCTTTATTTGTGCCTCTTCTGAGGGGACAGAGGACTAAGGTGAATGAGAGAGACCCTGTGTACATGATCTCTGCCCATTTCAGCTGAGTGCCCTGGCTGTCCGCTGTCAGGAAGAGCCAAACCCGGCAGCCTGGCAGAAGTGGGGCTGAGCCCCTTTCCAGACCTCCTTGCCCAGAGGTGCAGCTGGCAGCACGGACACATGGACCTTGTGGCCTGTGGTCCCACTTCATTTGCTGGTGCTTAGACCCTTGTACACATGCACGTGCACAGAATTGCTCCCTCACCCAGAAAGAGAGTTAGAGAGGAATTTAGTAAGAAGCCAGGGCCGTGCTGATCAGGTGTGGGGCATGGCCAGGCAAGTGTAGTGACCAGCACCCTGCTTACACGACTGGTGCTTTTATTCCTTCATCCCATGTTTGTTCCTCCTCAAATCACCCACATCCCTCCCTTCCCTTGCCTTTGTCCTCCTCTAATCCTCCCCTAACTCTTGTGCCATCCTGCAGTGTTCTTCCCCTGCATCCCACAATGTGTCCTGTACCCCTGAGCAGTCTGCAAGGTGATCCTGAGAGCCGTCTTGATGGCTTTCACAGCTGAACGTGGGGCAGATGCTCTCCAGGGGCAGCCTTGGCAGGTGCCCAGTCAGGGTACCTCTTCCTAGAATTTTGCCATTGGGGTCCCCCGCCTGCCTTCATGCTTCTGCCCTCTTTGGGATGTGTGGAGATGAGCCTTGGATGAACTGATGGATGTTTGTCTGTCTTCTAAAAATGAATGTGTGACCTCTTCTTGAGTCTTGTTCAAAACAATGTACCCCTTGAGGAGGTACTGGCACGGTATTTTGCAAGCAAGGATGAATGAACTTTGCCTCCACCATCAGCAGAGCTTGTATGTTTGGGGTCAGAACTGCACTAGGCGTATTCACACCCTCCAATCGTCGTATAACTTGTTCACTGCTGTTGTCTGCTCACGGAGAACAAACTTGGATCTGTCCTGGGAGAAATCTGGATGGTATCTTCAGATGCCTGAAGGTCAGGTGTCGTCTTGGTTAGCATCATAACCTGCAGGTACACTGGCGGTGTCAACTCCGAACCTCTGTCTGAAGATCATAGGGAATTAATCATGAAATTGCATTAAGGCTCCTAATTCTTAACATGCAGCTCTAAGCACTGAACACTTCTCATTTCCTGTCTCTGTGGAATTTAGGAGAGTTGAGATTTCTTTTTTTAAACAGGAAATGTATTTGGTTATATTTAATTGAGACCATATTAGCTTCTAGTGATAGTACTGCTCCGTGATGTTGCCTGTAAAATGATGGTTTTGGTAGCGCATGCCTTTATGGTTAAGATCCTTTTTGTGCTTCTGAAATCCTCAGTTTTTTGTTTGATATATTTTTTTTTTTTTTAAATGCTAAGCCTGTAAACTCAATAGGAAACTCTAAACATTAAGCTGGTGAAATAATAATTGGCAATAGATATGAATAGCATTCTTCGTGCTATCGAAGGGCCAGAACAGAATCTATCTCGCTGTCAATACAACTTCAACAGGAATTGTGTGGGTGGATCGAAGCACTTATCCTAGCCATTATGCAGCAGTGGCATAAGTTAATGGAACAGATTGTCGGGGGACTGTAGGAAGTAATCGCATAGGAAGGAAGATGTGATTTATGTATGAGAGGTAATACACTGCATATAATGAGAAAGTTTGAAAAAATAATGTATGGAGGCGGCGCACGGATAAAACCGTTAGCGTCAACTCAGAAAATAACGCTTTATTTCTAGCTGCTTATTGCTTTCTCGAGTAAGTTCTAATAAGGCTGAAATCTTCCTGATTTTGGTATTTAATTCAAGCTGAGTTACATTTGAAAAAAAAAAAAAATAAAAGCGGTTGTGTTATTTCTGAAGATGACAATAGGGGGAAAAGTACTGCTTGGGAACATGCTAAAAATAAGGTGACGTTCATGCTTGCTCACCCTCCCTCTCTGTTTTGAAGCAAAACCTTTGGATCTGCCAGCATGTTGCCTTTGTAGGATGGATATGGCTTTTGTTACCTTTGAAGACAGTCTGTCAAAAAGCACGAGCTTATAGCAATAACACCCTCCAAAACAAAAACCCAACAAAAACCACCCAAAACTGTAGTTTACTCCAGAGAAAAGTCTTCTATCTTAACAGTCTTGGCAGCTGAATCGCCACAACTTTCCTTCAGGCTGGGCAGCTTCTCCCTGTCTGAGGTGTTGTGGTCTTCTCCAGCCTTGATAAGGTGAGGGTGAGCTCCTGCGGGATGTGTGCAGAGCGGGTCTGGGGGGTGCCTGGCTGGAACATTGAAGGGGTGAAGGACAACCCGGTGGGACAGGCAGTGAAGGTCACAGCCTGCCGCCAGAAGCCTGGAGGTGGGTGGAGATGGTGGTGAGGAGGACTCCAAGGAGAGCTGTTGGGATGGAAGGGACAGAAAACTGAACAAGATGAGTGGGGTGACACGGGAGGTGCCCAGCATTTCTCCAGCAACAGAGACCCAAGCAGGAACTTCTGAACAAAGCAAGAGTGAGAAGGATGAGGAGCCTAAGGAGCAGGGAGATCAGTGTAGGTGGGGAAAAGATTGTTGATCAGGATTGAGGGGATTTAGGACAGAGGAGAAGCAGTAGTAGAGCAAAAGCAGTGTAATCTCTCAAACTGAGGATAGGCAGGAGGGTCCGTGCCCAGTCATCATACTCTCCTTTGTGGAAAGGAGCTTGAGCCTTGAGTTGTCTTTGTCAAAGATCAATGTGGAGCTGAGGCTCAAAACGTCTTCCCCCAAAACCTGTAAGTGCTCTTGGATAATGGAGCACTCTCGTTCTGTGCGGTTGATGACAGAAGCTTTGTGATCCTTCACATTCATTTATTTTCTTCAGATATCAGCGATGGGTTTTCCAGTCTTTCAGCTTCCCAGAACAAAAATGCTGAGGAAGAGATTTGACCTGTGTAGCACGTTTGTGAATTGCTGCTTTACATTTCTAGTTTTTCAGTTCGGCAGATAAGCAACAGTTGCAACCAGTGCCTCTTTCAGCTGCGTGCAGCTCAATTATTGGGATTGTTTTTTGGGGCTCTCTGACATTGTAGTTGTCGAGAGCTCAGTAAAAGAGCTGGATTGATTGCACCAGAGCAATATTTGCCTGGAGTGCTGTGTTTGCCCTGGCAGGATGATATACTGGCATCGTTCTCTGCTACTCTCTCACATTGCTTAGCTAATAAGCCTCAACTCAGGCATGAAGGAAATAAATGGGAGAAGTGGATGGCTGAGGACGTATGTCCATGTGGTTTTTGCCCTCTTGCATTAGGACTTATTGTCTAGTGCTTGGAATGAGCAAAATAGGGGTATGTAGGTGAAAAGTCCATTTGAGAAATTGTTCCAGAATAGTTACAGCAGGGCTGGGCAGCCCTTCTCCTCCTGGGAACGAAGAGCTTGGTCTAGCTGAGAGCCACACGATGTGCAGTGTCAGTGGAAAGATGTGGAGAGGCAGAGGCTGGGGTGGAGGTGCTCCCAGCAGTCCCACCACTCTCCCAGAGGTTGGGACTGAGTTGGTGGTGTTGATCTCAGTTTTGGCTTGTGGGGTGCTTGGATGGCTCAGCATTCACCCCATGCCAGCACGAGACCATGAATTATTTACTAAATGATTTATAAATCGCTTTCTTATTCTTGAGATCTGAAATTCTGGGATGAAACGTGAAGAAAACACATTGCAGGCAAAAACCTCTCTGTCTTATTTTCTTCTGTGGCTGTTAAGTACCTGAGTTTAAGGAGCAGGCAAGTGTAAGCTTATGATCTGCTTGAAGCAAAATCAAAGTGTGACAAAAATGGCTAATTGAGCACAGCATTTGAACAGCTGGCTACAAATGGCAGAAGTGGCACGTTGGCTCGACAGAACAAGCCTCCTATGTCGGGTATCCAGCCACCTCGCAGTCAGCTTTGAAGCCCTCGTTATGCTGTTCTCGGAGCAGGTGTCACATCTTCGAAGGGAAATGTTACAGGCTTTGATGGAAGACAGGAAAGATGTTACACGTCCGCTTAGTGTAACTTTAAATAAGAGAATTGCGTTTTAAATGCAAATGTCTTGCTTGTTTTTACTGAGTTGTAAGGAGCTGAACTGCTGTCTTAAAAATTGATTTGCCTTTGAAGTGTCATGCAAAGCTATTTTTAGGATTGCTAGTATATGTTTGTCTTGTAACCGATTATACTTACTACAAAGAGGAATCAAAATTTTCGGGAAGTACACTTGCGGATCGTGTTAAACCGTATATACGTATGAAAAGTGTCAGTCGTGGTGTGACCTGGGAGTCAGGGCAGCTCAGTGTCCGTGGCAAGACAGTGGTGGTTCACAACCTGGAAATGACCCTGATCCCTTTTGACACATAATTTCAGAGCTCTTTCCACATGGCATCTTGTTATTTGTTGGTGTTAAGGATGAAAATAATGGCAATTTCTAAATAAAATACAAGATTAGAGCAACATACTAGTCTGACTGAGCTGCCTCCTTTGGGTCTGACCTGTGGCTTTACTGACACACATTTGCATGGTTAGTGTAGAAATGAAGCCAGGCTACTTCTGCTGAAGGAGCGTGTAGGACTCGTGCTGGGCCACCTGAGCATCAGCAGAAGGCATCTCTCAGGACCTGCAAACTTCTGGTTCTCTCTGCTCTGACGTCCGTTTCTCGCACCGCAGCTTTCACTAGTTTGCAATAATGAACGGCGAATCTGTTGCAAATATTTGTATGGCTGTTGCCTCTTAGCTCCTGGGAGAGGGAGAAAATAATCAACTTTCAATTGCTGATACTTCAGCTTATTGTTTCCCGCAACAGTAGCCGCTGACCCCAATGTGAACACACAGAAAACATATGCCACGTTTTATTTGCCAGCTAAAGAAAAGATGCTTTTGGAGAACACGAGATGTCACATCTGTTTAGTCAACAAAATATTGTCATCTCCATGGCACTGAATGGCTCCCTTTGTAGCAAACGCTGCATTTCAGGTTGCCTGTTCAATGGGGTCTGTAAAACTGCTCCAAATGTTCTTTATCTCACAAAGCTTCTCTTTCGTTTCCAGCAAGGGAAGCCCTATGTCTTTGATAGAGTGTTACCTCCTAATACAACCCAGGAACAAGTTTATAATGCCTGTGCCAAGCAGATTGTTAAAGGTAGGTGTTGTCTTTGTTTATTCCTGGTTGGGGGGGAGGGAAAAGATGTCTTCCTGTCCCCTCAAGCTATTTAAAGACAGGATAATAAATGTTTAAGTGTCTGTAGGGGAGTGTAGTAATAGTAATTCCAAGCATTTCCTTTTTTAAGGACTTGTCTGTGTTAAAAAAAAAAAAAACCAAAAAACAAACAAACCAAAAAAAACATGAACCAAAAAATAAAACAAACAAACAAACTGACAAATTGCAGCAGTTGTTCCTTACTTCCTCCTTGTGTGTGACTATTATTCCACACAAATACTTGCTTTTTGTGATATGTGATAAGCAACAAAAAGCATGTTCTTCATGGAGCGTCAGACTGTTCAGTATGGGATGAGCAGGGAATAATGGTGTCTTTGAATGGAAGGATGAGCAGTTAAAGGAAAATGTGGAAGACACTGGTTTTGTAGCTGCTTCCCATGCAGATAGTTTGCATTTAAAAATGAAACGAGAACACAAGTGCCTATTGGATAGCACCCTAATTGTTTAAAACAAAACCTTCATAAACTGTTGAAATGTCAAGATTTGAACTCAAGAATCAAACTTTTTGGGTGCATTTTAATTGCCTGCCATACTTCCCTGGGCTCCCAACGCCCCCTCAGACCTCCCACTTGGTTCTGATGCTGGATCGTCAGTCCGTGATGATATCACAGCTGCTGCAGCACCTCAGGGGTTACGAGTAGTACCAGGTCTAGTTGTTCCCTGTCCCTGTGCCCCTCAAGATTAGTTTCTCAGTTTTTGTTTTTAAATCAAAGTATGCAGATGGTGAGAGTGGTGTCAGAGCTGTGCTCTGTAGCAACGCAAGGCTGCGTGTTGAAGGCTGTGGGATTTGTGTGGCGTGAGAGATTTTGGTTGCTCAGAGGCGCAGGGGCTACTGAAGCTGTGTTGAAGGACTCGGTAGCGTTTCAGGTGTGGAGCTGGATCTGCTGACAGCTGTGTGTCTGCTGGTGGGGAGAGGTCCCTGGGGCAAACAGCCGTGGGGCAAAGCCTGGGTTCTGTTCTGGAGGAAATGGGTTGGCTCACTTGGACAGCCTCGAGTAAACCAACGTGCATGTAGTCTAGAGGATTGGGGGTGAAGGCCAGAAGATAAGCTATGTGATGTTGCAGAGAGGAAATGAGTTGTAAGACATCAGTTGCCTCTTCTCAGGGGGGAGTCTAATTATGGCAATTCTGACTTCAGACGGGTAAGCCTTTAATAAAAACTGGTGGGACTGGAGTTGTAGAACTTAGAAATCATTATTTCGGGTTGCTGACACACCGCTGGACTTTCGGAAGTTTGGGGAACTCTTTCAACACTACAGTGTGTGCTAACAGAAGCAGAACATCGCTGTTTGTAGGTTTGCGGAGGGTTTTTGTATCCCCTGTGGAAGTTGTTTTCCTACAAAACGGTGAGAGAAATAAAATCCTGTTTGAAAGCAACTTGGAAGACCTGAATCAGGGCTAAGTCTTCTTCATTAACCAAGTAGAAAGGCAAATACTTTCCAAAGGCCTATTTGAAAATACTTTTGTGTGTGTGTTATCTTGGACTTTCTGGATGCCTTGATGTGGGGGGAGAGGGTATAGAAGAAAGGAGAAGAGAGAAATGGGGGGAAAAATGGAGAAGGAGAGAAAGAGAAAGGGAGAAGAAGAGTGATGGGGAGGAGAGAAAGGGAGAGGGGGGACAGAAGGAGAATGTAAGACAGGGAGGGAGGTAGGGAGAGCACAGTGTTACTGGAGTGACGTTCTTGAGCTCTGGACTTACATTTCCTACGTTTAATTTTCAGTTTAAAGCCTAATAAAGTGAAGAATGCGAAACAGACTGGGCTGTTTCTGATAGACTGGAACGATGTAACTTACTGCATGGAAATACGAGCTCAGTGCATTACAACTTGGAGCACTATTTAAATCTTTGAGACTTTTTCAGATAGCTTTTCAAAGTTACCATTTGTGATGAGATTTCATTGTACTCCCACGAAATGGCTGCTGGTTTCATTGTGATTAATGTTATTACACAAAATGCCAGCTGGCCTAACAGTCTCCAAAACAATGGTTATAAGAACTACGCTGACAATAAGAATGATCTCCAATGAGTTTTTTTTCCACTAAAGAAGAGATGGGATTAGGTTTAAGTAAACAGCTCAATGGCTAAGTCAAAGTATTTCACGTTCCACATGTGAGAAACCTGAGAAACAAGGATTTTTTTAGAAAAGGAGAAGCAGTCTGTGTGTTACAGCGATTTGGGTGCTGGGATGTTTGTTCAAGGTATTCCCAAGGGCAGAAGTTCCAGTAGTGGAAGCGTGTGGGGAATCGTCACTGGTGCGTACAACCACAGCTTGGGAACTTGTGTTTGCATTTCTTTTAACCAAACTAAGAAATATCACTAAATCTGAAAGGGAACAATAGTGTGTGATTGCCACCACTTTTGCTTTGTTTCCCATTGCTCTCCGTTGCCAGAAAACAGCTTTTTCTTCTCAGTCTGCACAGATGGATGTCTGTGTCTGGGTTTTGCATCTTTCCTACAATTCCATTGAGGGGAGCATGCACAATGGCCCAAGCTGTTGCCAAGCACTGGAGCTGTGAGCACGTTAGTGCACATGTGAACATCTGCACGTTTGTGTGTCCTGTGAGGAGGAGAAAATTGCTTTAACAATTTTTTGGGTGATGGGATGGCTCTCACTGGGTACCTTAGTGACTTTCCAGTCTGGTTACAAACGTGGGTCTCAAATGCTGAGCCGCAGAACTAGAAAGCTTCGAGATGGAAAAGAGAAGTATAAAGCTAAAAATTTAATCAGAGAAATGAGGCTGAAAGGCCTTCTGTAAAGCCCTTTGGTCTCTCTTCTTGCCATGAAGACTCCTACACTTGTCAGCGGTCCGTGTGAAAGGTCTCCAGCCCACAGCCACCCTTGGCCGTGTGTCGCAGGGCCTGTGGTGCTGCTGGAAGGACTTTGTTATGAGTTGTGTAAAAACCCAACTGATCTGTGTTCGGTCACTTTGTACATCTTTTTTTTCCCCCTTGCTCTTAAGTTTCGTGCAGGCTGTTTCTGTTGAGTCTTCTCTCTTTATTGAGTTGACAGATGGTGTATTAACTATCTCAAGGTGGAAAGCCTTCCAACAAAAATAACCTCTTCTGCTGCTGAGACCACCGATTTTTCTAATTGCTGGTGATGCAAAGGACTATTTTTTTATAGAATAAGATATTTTTTGCTAATTGGAAAGGTAAATTACTTATCTATGCTTCCTCAAGCAGCGGCGTATCTTAGTATACATTTATGCAAATTCTGACCAATTTTCTTACATAACAGTTGATTAATCAAATTATTTTCCCCCTAGGCTGTGCACCAGTATAGAGCTGACGTTGTACCTTGCATTCACCTGGAGATAATAAGCTTTTTTCTTTTCTTTAAATTCAAACTTTTTTTTTTTTTTTTTAAAGTTAACCAAGTTTTCCAAAAAGAGGAAATAGTAGTAGTGAACTCTTAGATTCTGTGGAACTGTCCTGGGAATTTAAAGGTATTTGGATGGTGGGTGGTATTTTAGAAACAAACAGGAGTTGCACGTGTTTGATCAAGGACTTCTGAACCACCCACCGAGGACAGTTATTCCTATTTTTTGATGCGTAAACACCTTTGAAACTCTAATTCTGTGCACCTTCCAGACACTTTAGCTCATCTTCCCCATGTGCTAGTTTTCAACTAAGGAGGAAAACAAACCTTCCTTCTTTTCCAACTTCCAGCTAGATTTTAGTTTAGAATAAAAAAGTCCAGACACAATATTTTCTTTTCTTGCTGTCTAACAAAGATGAAGGCTTCTCTATGCAATAGATACACAATATTTACAACTGGATGTAGCCTCGGAAGTTAAATGTAACTGCTTCCCTGTTGTGCTTATATATGTGCGTGTGTGTGTTTAATAGGAAAAGTGTCAAGTAAGCTTTTTATTTAAAATATTTCAAATACAATTGCATAAAATATTGCCTCGCCTATAGGCTATTTCGAAATTTAGTATTAATCCGATTAACTTTTTAAAAGGAAATCGTGGTTTTGTATTAAAAAACAAGATAGAACTTTTATCTCCTGTGAGCTGCTGCCACCTCCCTTACACTGCAGATCCCTGACTCTATCCCGATCCTGTGCTCCATGTTCCTGCTGTTAGACCCGTTGGTGCAAGTTGAGCGGAGCTCCTAGCAGAATTCCTTTCAAAGTTTTAATCATCGACAATCTTCAGGAATCTGCTAAGCAGCTGATTTTCTTTTGTTAATCATAGAATGGTTAGGGCTGGAAGGGACCTTCAAAGGTCATCTAGTCCAACCCCTGTTAAAGTCTTCCAAAGGCAAGGCTTAGTATACACGGAAGGTTTATTGGAAAAAACGCTGTGAAAATTGCACCCGTGAGAGTTCAAGTGGACGGGCTCCGAGCGTGGCGCAGCGAGGGCCAGCGACCAGGCTCGCCAGCTCTTCTCTCCTGCCTTCAAGCTGCCGACCTTGTAGCCCTTCCCTTCCACCCAAGTTCGTTCTGTGTGGAACTGAAAATCAATGAGATGTTCCCTTCAGAAAAGAACTGGTGAATGCATGTTTTGAAGTAGCAATAAAATGAAATTTGACCCTATTTTAAAGCCTGTTGGTGAAATTGTGTAGTGATAGGACAAGGGGCAATGGCTTTAAACTGAAAGAGGGCAGATATGGATTAGGTATAAGGAAGAAATTTTTCACTCAGAGGGTGATGAGGCACTGGCATAGGTTGCCCAGAGAAGTTGTAGATGCCCCATCCCTGGAAGTGTTCAAGGCCAGGGTGGATGGGGCTTTGAGCAACTTGGTGTAGTGGAAGATGTCCCTGCCCATGGCAGGGGATTGGAACTGGGTGATCTTTGAGGTCCCTTCCAACCCAAACCATTCTAGGATTTTATGATTCTATGATTAAGGGTTGAAGGCATGAGCTCAGGATAGCACTGCATCTATGGCTGGACATCTGAGTTTTTATCTATGCAAGTATTATTTATAATAACTTATTTTAAACCCTGTTTCCTTAAAGTAAGAATAAGCAGTATCTCTATTTTTATAAACAGATGAGGATGTTAAATTCATATGAAATGTTAATACCAGAATGACAGTAATTATAGTCACTAACTTTGTCTTTCTCCTAGATTTTAAGATTCAAAAACAGCAATAGTCTGTGGAGGTCTAAAAACCTCTGGCATGTAGCTCCACAGTCTGTCCTCTCCAGCTCTCCAAAACAGCTCTGCCACAATTTAAAGAGTTACGTTTTTATTTATTATTATTATTATACATTTATACATTATTAAAACATTCTTTGTTTAATTACAATATGTATTTTCGAATGGCTTCATTCCAATTTCATCCTTACTCAGTATCGCTGTATAGGAAATGTGGATCTATGTTGTGGTTGCCTTGGAAAAAGATCTCTTTGCCTTTCCTTTCTTTTTATTCATTTCTTTTCTTTGAAATCGTCTTTCTGTGGTTTTTGTCTCAAATTTTTTCACACTTGTTTCTTCTTTGTTCTTTTTGTATTTTGCTAACATACCTTATTTAATTCTCTATCCTAGCTGGACTGTCTACATACATACATATGGAGATGCAAATGAGGAGATTATATGTGTTTATGTAAACGTAATACTATGATGCTATATGTAATACAGATGTGTGTGTATACTATAAATATGTGTACATATATATACGCACATGTATTTTTTTCTCCTGATAGCCTCTATTAATATAGAGCCTCTCTCTATAATTAGCCTATATGTAGAGTGTTAGCCTCTCTATATAGATATAGAGGGTGAGAAATGTAACAAGTGTTTCAGAAGCAGAGAAGGCCAACTCCAACAGTACGAGATGCTCTGGGAAGTACCTGTGGACAGGAAACTTTCTGCCCTGCCAGAACGCAGCTCGGCTTTGGTGGCTGCTCTTGTCCCCTTTGCAGGCTGCAAGAGTCAAGCTTTCCTTTTGCTTTACCTTTCTCTGCTGGCTCCCCTCAGCTTTGCTGCTCTGTCTCTGTGTGATGTTTCTGCTCCAGAGGCCCGTGGCAGAGCTCTGGTCCTGAGTACGATGCCACTGGTCCCCAGCAAGAGGCATCAGGCTCAGTGGCGAGGGGAAGGTGGGCGTCCTGCAGCGTTGTCCCTGGCCAGCATCCTTCCCACTGCCTCCGGGGGCCTGGGGGGTCTTTCCGAGCAGGCCGGTGAGAACTGGGTTTTAGATTGAACGTTTCCTTCATTCTCTACTAGCAACTAGCTTCTCGTTGTAGATGCCCCATCCTTGGAAGTGTTCAAGGCCAGGTTGGATGAGGCTTTGGGCAATCTGGTGCAGTGGAGGGTTTCCCTGCCCATGGCAGGGGGGTTGGAACTGGGATGATCTTTGAGGTCCCTTCCAACCCAAACCATTCTATGATTCTGTGATTCTATAACTATAATAAGTATTACTCTTTTTTACATGAAAGCTGCATAAATAGGTGGCCCTACTTAAGACTTTAAATTCGCTTGCCTGGAGCAAGTCCAACCCAGTAATCCTTTCAACGACAATGAATGGATGTGTGTAAGAACCAGCTGGTTTACAGCCCTCCTGGATTTCTGAGAGCTTCTATAGATGTCAACCACTGCAAAGTTAAAAATGGATATTTTTATATCTTAATGCAATATGCAAATTCATGTTTGTGTGACTCTCTTTTTGCTTTGCTCTCCTGCTTTGCAGACAAGCTTGGAAATTAATGAGGCCATGAACTGTTGAGGGTGTTATAGTAGTAGAAAAAGTATGAATTTGTTTAATTTTCTCTATGTTACGTGATGGTTTAAAATGCATTTCCATGTTACACAGGTATATTGGATAGTATCTAGTGTCCAGAGTTTTTTTTTTTCCCAGGAAAGTGAGAAAGATGTCAATAATTCTGTAATTACCTGATTTAGATTTTTGATACAAATTTTTTTTTGCCTAAAGATAGCTAGCTTTGTTGTATTTTTTGCGTTCTTTATTGCACAAACTATTTTGTAATTGACCTTCAACATTGTAGAAGGCTTAGGAAATGCTGACACTCCATCTTCAAGATGTCAATATGATTTTTAATTGTTTTCCTTCTTCTTGCAGATGTTCTTGAAGGCTATAATGGCACAATCTTTGCTTATGGACAGACATCATCAGGAAAAACACATACTATGGAGGTATGGTGGCAAAATTAAATCAGTTTGATAGCAGCAGTAGAATTTTATGTATCAATTACCTGAACATGCCAGCTATCTGGAGCACTCTTTGCTGTGAGTGACATATAAAAAGAGATCTGGGTATGTTTAGCTTCTGCTGCCTTTTAAGCTGTAGTATTTCTTTCGATGTGGAGTTCTTTTCAAGACATGTCTATAGATATCTAGCTAAACTAGCAAATGATGAGTCAAAAATATCAAGTATAGCTTCTCCATATTTGTCATAACAGTTGAGGTATGTGTATATTTTAAAGGATTTGAGTGAGATTTGTTAATTCACAAATGAAAATAGGAATAAGGGTCTCTAGAGTTCCCTTGCATGCAGAATTGTGAAAATTCATGCCTGGGTTATTGATTTTCTCATTTGCACTTCCCTTCTGGGAATACCACTCTCGCATGCTGCAGCACAAATGGATGAATTTAAGAATTGTTGCTTTGGGGGAGAAGAACCAAATTATAGCAAATTCCAGTGGCTGAAGTCCTAAGTCTGTTCATGTTTCTGCTACATGAAATGTGACAGTGTAATTTTTTTCCTATGGGATTTTTTTTTTTAACTGTTCAGTTAAAAGACATTTAGATATTTTATCCTCTTGCTAAAAAAGGAGGATCATTCAAGCATTTAATCCTCGCTTAGATTGTTCCATCACAATGCTGTACAAGCTGGGTGTGTGTGTCTTGGAGCGTTTCATTTCAACTGTGAACGTGAAGCAGGAGGGCTACAGCAAAGTTTTGCTGAATGAAAGGGAAAAAAAAGAGCTTTCATTTGTTTAACAGCATCAGATGGTTTTGCTACCCAATTAACACGGGTGACCTACCTAACCTGAAGGTTAAAGGAGAAGGAAAGCAATATTCTCTCGAGCCAACAGGCCCTGGTGAAATTGCTGTTCGATTCCCACAGTTGCTCCTTTCCTGGAGGATGCTGTAACTGATGCCTCATGTCTAATTAAGGCTGTCCTTGGGAGGATGGGGGAAATCGCCAGCTCAGCCCTCACAGATGGCACAATGGCTGAGTAATCCACCAGCTCTGGATGTAATTAAATCAAAATGTCTGCAGGGCTTGAGCTGGTGCTTCCACATGGCATGGGGAAAGATCTCTTAAAGCCAATTTATATTCAGAATTACAAGCTGCGATAAAGAAAATGACTGTAGAAAAATAGCTGGTTTACTTCTTTAGTAAAGAAAAAAACTGTCATTTTGAAATGGAATCAAGTCTATGTTCAGTTTTAATCCTCCTTTTAACCTAACATCCCCTTGTAAAGTTGCTAAAGTGTGTTGTGGAAGAAAAAAGTAGTCTGAAGTTGAAGAAATAGTAAATCCTCTTGGTAAAGCTGTTATGGAGGATTTTCTGTGAAACGTGAAATGCTGCATAGTGTTCGTGTTACGCTTGAACAGGACACGGTAATGTAACATAGCCAGGATAGGCTTTCTGATGTACATGGGTCATTGTCCTGTGCTAGATAAAGCATTTGCCAACCTGTATAGCAGGATATAACCAAAACCTTCTTAAAAATTTCATATTTTTTCCCATGAGATTATATTGCTCAGCTTTGACCTTACAGTAGAGTTTTCGATAGTAGGTCCCTGTGGATTGTAGTTATTATGTGAACACCCTGAAATAAACCAGCGCTGTCTCAAACATTACACTTCACCAGCAACTACCTGCCTGCTATGTTTAAGTGTGGAAATTAATGTTCTTATTAAAATGAGCAGCTTTAATGAGCAGAGAACTCTCCGTCCTGGTGCTTTGGGGGAGTTTACTAACTGCAATGTCAGCATGGCAGCAGCAGCACATTTCTCCAAATTCTTTCTGAGGTTACAGCTGAGTGGGTTTGGTGTTTTGTTTTGTTTTTTTTTTTTTATTCCAGCTTTTCAGTGAATAGCCTACCTTTACCTTTATCTTCTCTTCCAGTTTATGGTCTCCATAAATTATAGTGGGACCTGCTTCAATCACCTCTTGTTTTAATAAAAATCCATTTATAATAGAGTAAAAATGAGTGTTTCTCAACGCATCACAGACTGCTGGTGTTACAGTGTTTTAAAAATCTTAACTCTCTCTTCTTAAAGCATCGAATGTGATTTTGCTTCCCTGAAGTTTCTACAGACTGAGGTAGTGAGAAAGCCCAAGCCCAAGAAGTTGTTGATACGGTGGTTGAGTTACATGCACACTTAATCATGTTTTACAGGTTGATTTCTCTTCTGAGCTCGAGCAAGCTGTGTAAATGAAAACACAATTATTACAGGGCTTGTTGAGGTTAGGAGAACATTTAATTAAATAGTTGTGTAAGTTGTCACTTCCCCAGAGCCCAAGCAGTTATTAGGGCATATGTTTACCTGGTGCAGTGATCCCGAAGTGGATGCACTTCTGTGCAGACAGAATTCTCTGCAACAAAACTTTGAATTCAAAATTGCTAAACTTTGTTAGCTCAAAGCTGAGCTAACAACCCAGTTCCATCAAAGCTACTGTAGAAAAAGAGGAACTAGTGGTTCTGGAGCTGCCTTTGCTGCCTTAGGAATCGTGCATCTTGCAGTGCTTTATAGTGTAGACATACCTTTGGTTGCATTCGTGTGTGCTGAAGAAATACCACCACATCTGTTTATCCTAATTTAGGAAAAATTCCTTTCCCCTCTTTGGGAAGACTCTCCGTGCAATAATATGGGGAAGTCCGTTGGTTTCAGTGAGCTTTTCAAGGGCTTCTTCAGGGAGAAGGGAGTGATGGAACTGAGCGCTGTGCTGGCAAGGCAGAACAGAGGGCTGGGGTTTGGTTGGAGCATGTGTTTGGGCACACAGGTGTTTTCCCCTCCTTCACGGATTTAGTTTGTTTAATCACACTCTTTTTCACTTTCATGGCCTGAAATAAAACGGTGTATCGAATGAGGAAGACTTTTTAGTTTTTGAGAAAGCGTTGAATATAGTTTAGCATTTAACTGCTTCCACTCCACAAGTTAATATTGTATATTTGTATAATATAAGTAAAATATTAATGTTTTAGGTACATCTGAGTGCTGCTTTATAGGGAATGCAGTCAGCAATGTAGCAGATTCCTATTTGCTCCCCTTTTTGTTCCCCAAATGTGTAATTCGAGGGCACAAACCCAGTAACTGCTTTAAATACAAGCTTTGAGATAGGGGCAGAGATTGTGTCAGTTCTTCATGTTAAACTTCCTGCATCGTAGGTTGATGTGCAGAAGGTGGCTGTCATTTCATCAGCTTTAGCATAAAGAAAGTGATGTCTAAGAAGGCTGTATCTGAATACACTAATAAAGGCTGAGAAACTTGGAAAACAGGTCGATGCAACGCACTAGTCATTCACAAACATTCATAATACTGAGAAACACATGTGCATGTGTATGATTTTTTTCTATTCTGCTAAAAAAGTTTTGATGGTTAATAATTTTTTAGCAATTACAGATTAAATCTGACTTTCCATCATTTGGAATTGTATGATTACCCACTATATTTTTTAAAAAATATATATTCCCTACCACTATTGAAAGTAAAATGCTCTGTTGTGCTGATATGGGTGCTATTACTTGCACAAAGACATATTCAAAAGATGTATTGGAGTTTCTAGATGGTATGTTCTGGTGGAGTCTTACGACTACTGACTTGTTACTGCATATTCAAACAGTTTCATAAAACGTGGAAATAACAATATAATGTTTGCTGTAGTCAGAAAAGGGTTTTATTTTTTTAGTTTATATTTCTATTCAGTTTTCGCAGGACGTTAGCTTTCCTGTACATGTCTGGCTTTTTCAGAAAGTGCAGTTTAACTAAAAGGAGACAGGGAAATTGTTGGTTTTATTTAATATTCAGTTCTTGAAAGAATAGAGGAAGATAGTTGTGCAAATTAACGTGGAGAACAGTAGTGTTTGTAAGGCACAGTTCTCTGGCAATTGGCCCAGCAAGCTCGAACCAGAATATATTCCTCTAATCCCCAAATCCCCGCAACCCAGATTTCCCTTTAGCTTTCTAGCATAGTGGTGAAAGAGAAACAAAATGCTTTAATACTTCTTGTTTCTGACACGTTTCCAAATATCAGATTTAACTGGGAGAACTGGGCTGTGATTTGTGTGCTTGTTTGTCTTTATTCATCTATCTGGACCAGGTTCCCCAGAGAAGCTGTGGCTGCCCCATCCCTGGAAGTGTTCAAGGCCAGGATGGATGAGGCTTTGGGCAACCTGGTGTAGTGGAGGGTGTCCCTGCCCATGGCAGGGGGTTGGAACTGGATGATCTTTGAGGTCCCTTCCAACCCAAACCATTCTGATCTTCAATTGGAGAGTGACAGCGTAAATAGTGGCAGGACAGCACACTTGGCAAATGGCAGGAGCTGACAAAACAAATAGGTGCTCCATCAGGTGAAGGGTGCTAACACGTCGAGTCGTTCCACCACCTCTTCTGTGCACTTATATCGAACAAATCCCCCCCAGAGCAGCAAACGTGTTCACAGGGGCCCACTGGAGGAAGGTGTGTTTGGAGAAGGCTTTCTCCTCTCCTGAGCCTGAGCAAGGCTTTCCAAGTTACGGTTGGCTTTTGTGTCCGCAGGGGAAGCTGCACGACCCTCAGCTCATGGGAATCATTCCAAGAATTGCACATGACATCTTTGATCACATCTATTCCATGGATGAAAACCTGGAGTTTCATATAAAGGTAAATGCGGAATGACGTGTTACATAACAGGTCGGATGGAAGGAGATGGAGCTGGATGGTAAATCTGCATTCATGCTGCTGTGCTACAGAATATTTCCTTTCTCCCTTTTATATCTTAACCTTCCCTCCCTGTTATTTCACTGAGGACATTTATTAGAAAGAATCCAATACAGTTACTAGCCTTTGGTAGGAATTTGTTCTGAGTGAGTTTTCAGCTCAGGTTTGCTAGTCCGTGGATTGCCTTGTCCTTCACTGCAGCTGATAGTCAGCCAACGTGGTAAGAAGGAACCCACGTGTTTCACTGCAGCTTCTCCAAAGGCTGTACCTTTGGAGTACCACTAGTTATGACCATAAGTACCATTGTTCTGCATGACACTTGAGACAATATGCTGACATATTGTTCCAACTCAAGGATATAAACAGTCCCCCATAATATGTGGGGTTGAAATCAAGGAAAGATGGCTTTGGACAATTTACGGGAGGATGTTTAGAAGTAATTTTTAGCTTAAAGGCTTATGTATGGGTTCCTTAAGATAGTTCACATCCTCTTGATTTGAACAGCTACTTTGTTTTTCCATGTCCTTATCTTGATTCCAGCCATATGATCATTCATATTGGGTGACCTTTAACTCGTACTGTTCATCTGGTCTCCTTGGGGGCTCTCAGCCATGGGGACATTGGTCTGTCTGGCAGGGGGAGTCAGGGTACAGTTTTCTTCTAAGTGGAGATCGGTAAATGTACCCTATGGATTGCAGGAAAAGTGGATAAATCTCTTTGTGATCCTTCCCCTAAAACACACAAAATACACCTGGGTGACTTCAGTAAAGTTGAGTAGCTGAGCACAGATAGAGCGTGGAAACACTGTCCCTTCTGCTGTGACCTGGTGATGCTCTCTGAGAACAGAGCTCTCCTCCTCTGTTCCTCTTGTACCTGGAAGTTGGAGATGAGTGACTTCTTAGTGCCTCTTGTATTAAAGCCCTTGAACTACTTCTGGGGTATATATATATATTTTTTTTTTTCCCAAAAAATCTAGCAGAGTACCTCTGAAGAAGTTATTAATCTCCTGGAGGGACCAGGTCATTTTATATTGAGAGCCTTCTCAGCAATGTCTGCTTGTGGGCATGCTCATGAAGTACAGACAGAAGCAGCAGACACACAAAGTACAAATAAACAATCTAACTATTTTAATATATAAAAAAATAATATTTTAATTGTAAAACATTGAGCTCTGTAACAAGAAACACCTCTGAATTTTCCTAGAAATGGCTTCCACAGGAGTGACACTGGTTTCTTTTCATCATCTGTAAAGCTCTCCTGGGGCTATTGCTATTGTACGTGATAGCACTTGGATACCAACAGATGGGAACCCCCTTCGTACAAGACGTAGTGAATTCCTGTCCCAGCAGAGGATTATCACTTTATAAATGATGTTCTGCCAGCGCTGAATTGTCTCAGTGGTTTCCTGTCGTAGTTGACGTTTATGAATATCTTAACAGAAAACTGCCTAAATAGCAATGAATGAGTGAGTGATTGTACAAGGAGCTGTCATTGAGAGAAATGCATCTTCTGTCACTGGGAGCAGGAATTTAACCAAACTGTCACACTCTTTTAATAGCTGAGCCAGCGTTGAAAATTAATGTCCTTTTTTTTTTTTTTCTGCCTTTCCCTCTTTAATAGAGACCCGTTTAGGAACAGGGAGGGGAACTTGGTATCTCCTGTGTGTGTTGGTCCTCAGCAGGGTGTTACTAGGATAACATAAAGCACATGAGATTAGTCGGGGTGAGCCAGGCTGATGAAGTGAGCTGGTCCAGAGGATGGCTTTAAGAGGGACACAGGTGAAGTAAATGCACAAAAGCAAAATATAGCTGTATTTAATAGCAGCTGGCACGTAGGAAGATCAGCTCATCAGGCTAAAAAGATAGATATAATTTATTTTTCGCATGAGAGAAAATGATACTTTACTAAATAGGTAGAGGTTACTGATATCCAGAATGTAGCCATCTAGCGTTCTAGCTAAATAATCCCTGGATAAAGATTATTTAGGGTGTGGTTACACACTACCCCCCTAACACATTTCTATTTCCTTCTGTGAGTCAAATACCCTTTTATTTAGAGAGTTATTCATTCTCCCTTGCCTTAATCTTTTTTTTTCTTTTTTTGAGAACAATTATCCGTCTCCATTACAGAAAAGCTCATTTTCAGTTTCTTCTTTGATTCTTGATTCAAGACAGAACTTCTAGCTCTGCTTCATTTAGAAGTTTAATTTAATCTGTATCTTGTTTAGGTTTATGTAACTTGGATGTTTAACCACTGAAGGTGCTGTCAGCTTTTGTGCTGGTGAATATCGATATGCCTCTTACCACTGCCAAAATTTACCCTCCTCGTGATGCAGCTGTACTGATGGTAGCCGAATCGATTTGATTCTGTTCCATATTTTGGTCAATTTTGCCTATGTAAAGAAAAAAGACGCAGATAAGATTTGTCTGAATTTTTTTTTTTTGTACACTTCCTGATGAATCATTGATACATGGAGAAAGATCAATGACTTGTAAATCATTCAAAATACAAGTCTATTCACATGAAAGATGTAATTCAAGCTATGTGGGAGGTGGGTTTTGTTTGTAGTTTGGTGCTTTTTATTTTGACAGATATGGAAATTTAGGTACGGAGGTTTTTAAATCACCAGAGCTTAAATCTGTAATGTTTATGATTACTTAATTAGGTTTCCTACTTTGAGATATATTTGGACAAAATAAGGGACCTACTTGATGGTGAGTTCTGCGTTTCTTATGTGACTTATGTTTTTTGGCTTGGTACAGTGCTTTGAATCAATGCTTATGGGGAAACAGTTAGTGCCTTTGAGAGTAATTTAAATTTAAGTCGTATGACTGGGTTTGTGAAAGAGAATTTTGCAGTTTGAGTCATCTGATCTCTGACTCTTGCACACCTACCTCTGCAGTGCTACATAGCTTGATTGTAAATCAATAAGTACAGAGAATTTTACAGCTTTCAAGGCATGTCTGAGCCTCCTTGGCCATGTATATTCTTAAAGTGAGACTGTAATTTTAAAATGTATGTAGTATTTTGTTGATTTTTTTTTTTTGGTTAAATTTAGAATACGTTCAGTTCAAGTTATTCCTTGCCTTGCTTCTGTTAGGTAGAGTTTTTTGAGAGTTATCTCTGTCTCTCTTACATTTTGTGTCTCTGTAAATGCATCCTGTATTTTAATGAAAATAGCATCCAAATTGTGCACGGCGAATCAGTTTGAAGATACAGAAACGTGTGCTAATAGTCAACAAGAACATGTATTTGAGCTTCTTTGAATTCTAATTAGTTCTTCTGTTTCTTTTGAAATTTTTGCTGCTTTTGCAAAATCCAAATTGGTCTGTGTTTATTTTATTAATCCAAGCAATAAACAAAAGCTCTTGTGCCATAAAGTTAACTTTCAAGAAACAGGTACAAGATTTATAGGACAAGAAATGAGTTTTACATCACAGAAATTGAGGTAGTTAATGAGGAGTGGGAAGCGACTACAATCCTCGTTTACAAATTCAGTACATTCACAGCATTTGTCTGTCGTGCCTATAGCTGACACATTATTTCCCGTGGAGTATTCCTAATGATCTCCATCTTTCTTTCCAGTGTCAAAGACAAACCTCGCTGTACATGAAGATAAAAACAGAGTCCCATATGTTAAGGTACAGGGAGCGTTTGATGCTTGTTTTTTTATTCTTTCTCACATATGCATTGATTTACTCATTTCCATGTGTATCCCAGTGCGTTTGCTGAGATGATTCAACTCATGTTCAGAGTCTTGAATGTTCAAGTAGTGTTGGTCTCTGGATTTAAACAGTTTCCTGAAATATTAATGGCCTTGAACGATGTTTGCTTTATTTTCCTGACGTTAAACATTTACATTTTGTTAGTACGGTGTTAAATTTGAAGTATTCCTATTCTCATTTCATGTCAGATACGAAAGAGAACATCTTGAAGAATTTTGTTCTTTAATATTTTGTGGCATAGATGCTGTAATCTCACAATATTTTAGTACAGATTTGTTGGGTTAAGGATTTGTTTTAGGACTTCCTGGGCCCTCACTTAAATGGAATATACTTCCAATGAACATATGTGAGCCTTAAGAATATACACATCATATTGTTCTGTTTATTCTCATCCTGGGGAGGGCAAAAGAAAGAATTGATATTATTCCTTCAGTTGTATTGCATTAAGGCAGAGAACAAGGACTATGCATCTTGTCTTGTAGTTTGGGAGACAAAAACTAATTTGGGTGTGTAATCTAACCCAGATTAGCAACAGGAATATACGCCATATCATTCCAGGTGTACTAAGTACAGCGACTCTCTCCTGCTGCGTGTTTGAATTTGACCAAGTCTTTAATCTTGTGAAAGAAAATTGTCTCTCCTCCTGCAAGTCATGCAAAGGCATGTTTTGGTCCTTTGCCTTGCACAGATCTCGTTGGATGTTGATAGTTCTTCTAATTATTGTGTTCATCACTGCTAAATATTCTTCCTGACGGCATTGGGAGTACTGGGACACTTCCTAAACTTTTCTGCTTTCAACTTGCGTATTTCTAGGGTTGTACAGAAAGATTTGTATCTAGTCCTGAAGAAGTTTTGGATGTCATTGATGAAGGGAAAGCTAACCGTCATGTAGCCGTTACAAGTGAGTGTTCTGTGGAGGCTTTTCTGGCTATAAAGTGTGGGTGATTGTAGCTTCCTAGCGATGCGTTGGTTCTTCGTGTTTGCAAAGTACTTGGAGTTAGTTACGTGAACGATGTAACGATGCACAAATTATCACACTTTAAAATTAATAGAGCTGTATTTTTATTACCACTTCACTGCGTACAGAAACCTTTATTGACTTTCAGCTTTGAGAACTCCTACGTTTAATACATGGCATTATGCGGTATTGTTATATAAAATGTCAAAATATGTGTTGTCACACATGTTATAGATATTTTGAAATTATGTGTAACTGAAATTATTTATGTACGTTCTTCTTTGTGCTACAGCTCCAAAACTTGGAGCAACCGACTGGTCAAATGGCAGGCAAAGACTGCAGAGGAATTATCAGACTCTGCCTGTTTCTCTCTTGCAAGTTATCAGAGTGAAGCAGTGACTTGGATCGAGTTCCGATGATGGCAAAGCAAACAGATCTTCCTGAATTTAAAAACATAATAATTGCTTCAGCTTGTGCCAAGTTTATTGACAGTCTGTTGCATGCAGCCTGCTAGCATTATCGTGATAAAAAGGGCTGTTTCCCAGTTTATACTGTAAGGTGTCTTTGATCCAAGCAGTGAACTTGGTAGAACCTCAGCTTGCAACTAAAATCTTGGTGGTAGGGTGGATTTTTGGGTATGGGATTTTTTGGATGTTGGTTATTTTTTTTAAAATATTATTTTATTTTTTATGATGGACGGGGTAACTTCTTTCTCTTCCATGTCACTACCTTCCTTCTTTGGTAAATACTGTATTGCTTTAGCTTTCCCATGCCTTTCTCATCAGACTAATAGAAATATATTCTCTTTTTTCTGAGTAATGTTTCCTCCCATTGTTTCTGATATTCTCTTTAACAAAAAATAGCCATTGGGTAGTTCTGATGAAATATAATTTGTTGTTAGGTTTTAAAGTCACTTAGACAAAACCTTTGAAATGTGATTCCTCTGCAGATATGAATGAACACAGCTCTAGGAGCCACAGTATTTTCCTCATTAATATTAAGCAAGAGAATGTGGAAACTGAGAAGAAACTCAGTGGAAAGCTTTACCTAGTAGATTTGGCTGGAAGCGAGAAGGTAATCTTTCCTTTTTCCGAAACTGCTGAATGATCCTGGTGGGATCACTAAACTGACCGTGTGAATGTGTGGCAGTGCAAAACTAAGCTAGGTCTTGCAGAAGTCTTATCTTAGGTTATTGTTAGTATGGCAGTCTTTTCTTTTTTTTTTTTTTTTTTAATGTGGGATGGAGAAAAGGAGCAGATCAGAACCGTTATGTGAAATGCAAAACTCAAAAATCTGCAATATGTCTTCATTTATAATGAAGTGAATTGAACCAGTGTACTTTTATATAGCTGCGCATTTAGTTATGGATATTTGAAGAAAGTAATGTAATTTTTATGTAATTTGTCAAATTAGACAGCTGTTTTAATTTGCTTATATTCAGACATGTCCTATTTCTAGGTTTTCTGTAATTATTTCACATGTCAGATCAATGAAATAACAGTGGTTAATGCAGTTATACAGCTGCAGTCTATTTGAAGCTCCCTGAATGACTCTTAATTGTGGTGACTATTTCTGCTTTCCAATATAGAAAAATACTAACCAGAAAAGAACTTTTATCTATTTACCAAAAGAGTAATGGTCCAGAATGGTACTGCAGTGGAAAAATGTCATTGTTTCCCAGTTCTCATTCTAACATCTTCTGGAGTGTTCAAAGTTGTTTAATTGTACATGAAATAAGTACATTATAAACCTTGTCATTTCACAGTGCTGTAGAATTCTTTATTCAGGCTGGATCCTTGGTAACTACTGTGCATGTCAAAATAATTACCCATGATGAAGCAATGTCTTTCACTGTGGTGGAAGAATTCTATTTCTTTCTGAAAATAAGAAGTAAAATATGAGATTTTGTTTGATAGACTGCACAGCTTTCAGTTTGCTCATTGAGACACATGAGTTGATAACCTGTTGGTACAATGTGGAAGCCATCCATCAGAGTAATTAATCAGGTTAATTTCTATTATGGCATATAATACTAAATGTTAAATTAAAAACTCTTAGTGGTGTTTAGAAAATGAGTGCCTGGGCAGGCTCTACTCTGCTCTGAAAGCTACACTTTTGTGATTCATTCTGTTTGTCTGGACATTGTACAGAAAACCTGAAGTAAGTTTTTCCTGGGTAGATTGTCTTCTTAAAAGATAATTTTATGTTTCCTTTTATGTCATATAGCATTCATTTTTAGTGGAAAGCACAGATATTGTAGTTTTAATGTAGAGAAAAATAAATAGCTTTATCCTACATTTCTGGGCCCTCCCCTGCCCACCCCACCCCCCCCAAAAAAAAAGAGGAAAAGATTATAAAACTGTTTTGCTGTCTAAAGGAGTGCTGGTCCACTTTTGTTAGTGGCTGGCTTCCACTAACAAAAAATTCTCCTCCTTCCCTGCAGAGGATAAGCTTGCTTTGTTTTTCTTCCAAGAGCATCTTTAACTGTTGCAGTATCTGCATCGTAGCTGTATTTGTACAGACACTTGCTGATCGCTGAGCCTGACTGTTGCCTGCTCTCTTTGGTAGGTCAGCAAAACTGGAGCGGAGGGCGCTGTTCTTGATGAAGCTAAAAATATCAATAAGTCTTTGTCTGCTCTAGGCAATGTGATATCTGCCTTGGCAGAAGGAACTGTAAGTAATCCTGTTTTGTGTTGTTGAAGAATGGCTTTTTATCCATCTGTTTCTTTGCCATGCATGTAAAAAAAATAAGCTAACATTTCAATTCAGAGAGAAGAAAATACTAGCTTTCCAACCACAAACCTCTGACACTTTTGCTGTTCTACTAATGATAAGAAACTAATTCTCAGTGATTTCACTTGAGTGGTTATCCAATCTGAGCATAATCAAAACAATTACTCTTTAGATTGTATGCTTCAAATCCATTAAACTCGTCATTGTTGACTCATGTTCTCTCTCATCACAATATCAGTATTTAAAAAAGTCCTTCTCGTCTCTTACTTGTATTTGGATTAGAAAACCCATGTTCCATACCGAGACAGCAAAATGACCCGAATACTTCAGGATTCCCTTGGTGGGAACTGCAGAACCACCATCGTGATATGCTGTTCTCCTTCTGTCTTCAACGAAGCAGAAACAAAGTCGACCCTGATGTTCGGGCAGCGGTGAGTCCCACTGGGCTTTAGGCTTGAGCACTTAGAATCACAGAATCATAGAATGGTTTGGGTTGCAAGGGACCTTAAAGATCATCTAGTTCCAACCCCCCTGCCATGGGCAGGGAAACCCTCCGCTACACCAGGTTGCCCAAAGCCCCATCCAACCTGGCCTTGAACACTGCCAGGGATGGGGCAGCCACAGCTTCTCTGGGCAACCTGTTCCACTGCCTCACCACCCTCAGAGTGAAAAATTTCTTCCTTATATCCAATCTAAATCTCCCCTCTTTCAGTTTAAAGCCATTGCCCCTTGTCCTATCACTACACGCCCTTGTCCAAAGTCCCCCTCCAGCTTTCCTGTAGGCCCCCTTTAGGTACTGGAAGGCTGCAATAAGATCACCCTGGAGCCTTCTCTTCTGCAGGCTGAATAGCCCCAACTCTCTCAGCCTGTCTTCATAGCAGAGGTGCTCCAGCCCTCTGATCATCTTCATGGCCCTCCTCTGGACTCGTTCCAGTAGCTCTATGTCCTTCTTGTGTTGGGGACTCCAGAGCTGAACACAGTATTCCAGGTGGGGTCTCACGAGAGCTGAGTAGAGGGGCAGAATCACTTCCCTTGACCTGCTGGCCACGCTCCTTTTGATACAGCCCAGGATTCCACTTCCACGCATTCCGAGCCAGCTGTGCCGAGGGGAGCGAGATGAGTAGGCGTTACAAAATATGGAGGTTATGGTTTCTGGAGTTGTTCAAAAATAGTACTGGAGAACTTGAGAAAACTGTCTCTTTATTCCCTGCGGTACTAGAAAAATAAATGTTAATTTTGGCCAGCAGCTGCACTACTTAGAAGCTCTGATAATTTTTCCTGCAGAAAGTATGAAGAGTTATAGTAGTTCTTTGACATTTTATGGAGAAGATAATGACATTGGGCAGTTTTCTGTTGGCTAACTCAGAGGAAAACGTTTGGTTTTGCTTTATCTGATACTGCTCTTGACACTTTTAAGATGTGTCTTCTTGAATGGCATCTCAGAGATTATTGCTAGGGTTGTAAAAAATATTTTTTTAACGGTTAATAAAAATGAAGGATGTGGACCCAGTGCACTATTGACAACTTCGATAGATCACTATGATAGCTCACAGGCATTTTTGTACATTTGAAGGATGTTAACAATTTAGGGACAAGTCTTCAGAAACAGGCAAGGATAAAATAAGCGTGGAAGTATTCAGAAAGAAAATTTCTCTTCCATATGTGTTCTTTGGTAATAGTCACATGAAATGCATTTGGAAAACTTGCAAAAATAAGTCAGGCTCATTATGTAATTACTGCTTTTGTTGTAACTGAGGAGAACTCTGATACTTTGGAAAATTACTCATCTTGTTTTATTTGTGTAATAGCAGAAAGAAAAAACACTAGCAAGTTATGATTGTTTGAAATAGAATTTATTTAAGAATTTGTACAATACAGTAAGTTTTGTCTGCCAGGAAATAAGTTGTTTTCCACTATACGTAATTTTTGCATTGAAGCCCACACCGTTAAGAAGCATTTTATATTGGAAAGTAAAATAATGTATTCAGAATTGATCTGACAGTCTTCTGTTAGTTCATTGCCCCACTTTTATCCTTTAATGTGAGCTTTCCTTAGGTTTCAGTGAGGAAGACGATGCCTTTAGCGTACCGATGTAAGAGTAGGTAGCGGTGCAGGACGGGCAGGTGGGTGCAGCCCCCTGGAGTGGGGCGTTGTGGATGAGGGCAGGTTAAGGCTCTCCCTCTGGCACTGCCAGAACAGAATTGTCATCTGCTGCTGGGATTTGTGGAAGGTGGGGAGGGACCCACGTGCTGCAAGCTTTTTAAAGCCCCAATTCCTCTGATCTCCGCTTCCCGTAGCGTGTCCTTCCTTCGCTGCCGAGCTATAAGCTACTCACTTAAATAACAGTGTGCAGGGAAAACTCCCCAAAGGAAACTTCACAGGACGCTGCAGTAAGTTTTTATGGAAAAGGACTATAAAAGGAGGAAGTGGTCATTAACATAATCGAGTTAAGAGTTGCTATGCAGTTTCAATTCACCGTGGTATGATGAACGTAAGTTTAAGTTATTGAAGATGTAAGCTTCTGCTGAAATTGGGTATATTATAACGTCACTGACATTTTGAGTAAATGCAAATATCAGGGTGCAGTAATTAAATAAAGAGTGTTAAAAACCCTGAAGTATAATGAGTTGCACATTATTTTGTTGAAGGTAAAAGTTTACACGTTTTGATAGTTCACAGTTTAAACCTCCCCACGTACGATTTTCTGACTGCAGGTGATTTCAGACGAGTGTGAATCTTGCATCTCTGTAGAGCAGAAGAAGAGTGGTCCCAAAGTTCCTGCTAATTCATTTTGGATAAGGCTCCAGGGCAGTAAAGCAACCAAAGGGACATTTAATTTTAAATAGATGAGTAGGTACTGTGTTAGGTCTGAGTCCACTCACTGTTACGCTGAACTCTCTGTCTGCAGGTGTGGTTTGAACCAAAAAGAAATGTAAGCAGAAAAACTTTTTCTAAATTATTTTATTTTTTAAAACGAGATTAAAAGAGGTTTACTTTTGCTCTGTAATGTGCAACAGTGCTCCGGGATCCCTGGGAAGTTGTGTGCCTGGGTATGTCAGGAACTGTATGTAGAGGAATTCAAGTTTCCATGTTATTGCAGTTTACGTTTCTCTTGGTTTCGTTTGTCTTTTCAGTAATTGGTAAAACTTGCCTTTCTGTTTGGGGCAAAATAATTTTCAACCTGACTCTGCACATCCTGGGCAGCAGAGCTTGGAGCGAGGTGACATGACTAACTCTTTTCTAGGAAGAGGAACATTTTTACGATATTCCTTACTGAGGACTAGGATGTCAGCTGAAAGAACTGGGAAGATAGCTCAATACTTTGTGAGAGTGCTTGGCTGGGGTTTATTGGAGGGGTTTTGTTTGTTTGCTTACAAGCTGTAGAATTGGGCTGAAATAAGAACGGGAATACAAGTGGGAGGACTGGTGGTGCACTAGACCTGCAGAGCAGCACACATACCATACATACACAGTGTTATTTGTGAGCATTTTGGATAGGAATATTGCTGTCTACAGGAAGTGGTTTCTTTTACAGGCTCTTTGGTTGTGGTGTTTCATTTTTCTGATGTGACAGCATTAAGGGCCTGAATAACATTAAAGGGAAGGTGTATGAGTCATGGGTGATTACTGGTTCCTCCATCTTTCCTAGCAAGGAAGAATTGTATCACCATTAAAATAAGTGTTAGGAGTAAAATTAATCTTCACAAGCCCACTTGCACCCATCAACACGTGCATGTGCTCCTCTCTTAGTAGTGAGTCACTTTCTTCTCTTTCTGCTCCATCTTTCTTATGTTTTTATATTGGTTTTAATTTTAGTTGCTATTAAGTACATCATCCATCATTGGGGTAACACGGTCGATAAACTTTACGATATGATGTATTTTTCCCCAGTGCAGTTAAAGGAGTGGAAACTTCAGCCATGCTTTTGGCAGAGACAGTATGTAAAAGCTAGCCCTTAGACGTCTGCATGTTTTAAAAGTATGGGGTTATTTAAAATTGTTTCTAAGGTAATAAAACTCCTGCTTGCCACATAGTGCAAATCACTGGAGCGCAGTTTGGAGTCCGAGGGCACAGGTATGGGAGTGTTTTCTTGCTGACAAAACAAAGTTTCAGGATTTTTAGTGACTGGCCACGTTTAAAGGATGTTTTAGCATCGTTAAGTGGGAGCTGTGAAGAAAATAATGAAGATCTTGTGCCCTCCCCAAAAGAGACTTGGCCAGTGCATCTATAGCTGATTCCTAGGCGTACTTTCTTGTGTTGGCATTTCAGCCTGAGCTTTACAAACTGGTGGGAGGTTTGTCTCCTTTACTTACTCTCTATATTATCTGATACCACTGGAGTTATTTGGAGGGACTCGCTGTCCGAGCAGTGAAGGGCAAAGATCCAAAGCATTCTTAATTCATAGTGATTTGTTTGTTTTTTCTTTTTAAATGTGGATTTGCTGGAGTAGGTGCTGTGCATTTTTTTCTGCTTGCTTTGCATTTTTGCAAACTGTTAGTGCGATTGTTTAGGTTCAGTTGGAGCTAAGCACTTTCACAGTAATAAAGTGGTGGTGGTTGTTGTTAGAAGGGTTTAAATTTTGTGGGGTTTTTTTGCCTAGAGAGGCAGTAACTCGTGAGCCTGCCTACAGTGGCATGGGCACAAGTTCAGGCTCCCTTCCCACTGAGAGCCTTCCTCAGTCCAGCAGTAACCCAGTTACCTGGTGGTGACCAGCAGTTCTCCTCCTTCCACCCCCAAAAATGTGTTTGAAAGCACTGTTTGACTTTCAAGAAGGATAAGTTTCCATGTCTGCTTCACTGTGTTGACATCCTTCACGCTGCGATCCTTGAAATAGAGCTGAGTTTGGTTGGTGGAGTTTGAGGGATGGTTGTTGAGGGATGGACGAGCCTGTGGTCAAACACTGATGTTGGGTACTCTGCGGTGGGTCCTGGGAAGGAGAAGCTGTGAGGTGACAGCTTACCTAGCAGAACAATAATGACAAGATTTGATTTTGTCCTTAATCCAAGAACAATTTCCAGAGCTTTTCTTTTTGGAGGAATCCCAAGAGGCAGATCCATGCCTAACTGGTCACTAGCTGCTGGATTTTGATACAGAAAAATTTCTGTTGAGGCTTCCAGGTAATAACGCTGCTGAGGGTTTGAGAGAAAATGGAATTGTGGCATTGCGCTTCAGAAAATAAACTGCAGATGTTTAGTGGATTCCCTTTGTGTTACGGAAAAGTTTCTCAATCCTTAGTGTTGCATTGAGATAAAAGTTGCAGAGCAACTGACACCTGGTTTTGCTGCGCAGAGCTAAGACGATTAAGAACACGGTCTCTGTGAATCTGGAGCTGACCGCGGAGGAGTGGAAGAAGAAGTACGAGAAGGAGAAGGACAAAAACAAGAGCCTAAAGAATGTTATCCAGCATCTAGAGCTGGAACTGAACAGGTGGAGAAACGGTACGTACCAGAAAAAGGGGAATGGGTACGTGTCTTTGTGTGTTTAAGTTACGTATGTTTAAATCTTGCCTTAAATCAAAAGTCATACTAATTCTGAGCTCACCATTCAGAGTCGTAGCTCATGCTTTGTAACAATAACTGAAAGGTGAAGAAGCGAAAACCTGGGAAACCAGCAGCCGTTTACGGAAGGTACCATTTTAAATGCCAAAACTGGCACGATAGCAGCTGTAGAGAATACAGGAAGACATCAATAATTTTTAATAGTGTTAGTAATTGTAATAAAGAAAAAGTAAAATGTCATTAAGTTGATTTTTTTTAAAAAGAACTCTGGTCCTCAGGCATGAGAATCACTTCCGTTACGCTTTAAGGTAACTAGATCTTGGGGATTTTTTTATAATTGAGTTTAACATTAGAATAATTAGTCCTTTAGTACAATGATTAGGAGTGTCGTTTGATGAGACTAATCACCACTTGTCTCCTTCTGTGGCTTCTAAGTGAAATTTATATTGAGAACAGCCAATTTTCTGTTTAGAAACATAGGTAATTGCAATTCAGGGTAGAAGATCAAGTGCAGGTTGGCAGTGGAGGAAGAATATTTCTATGCCTACATTCTCATTAAAGAATCATTATTTAATCTGAAACGTTGACAAATAATTTTAGCAAACCATCCTGGTTTTCATTTTCATTCCACATACTGAAAAAAAAAGCCCAAACAAAAAACTTGAACTCCAAACCAACCCCCCAAGAAGCAATAAACAAAAAAACCCACCCCCAAAAACCCAAACAAACCAACCCTGTGCCCGCTTGCACCCTGAAATCCCAACAAACTCCCAACACGCTTCTTTGGAGTCATTTTTATTTTCTAAATTCTTATTTTATTTTCTAAATTTCTTTGCTTGCCACCCAGGTCCTATGTGTTGATGCATCCAGCAGTTCAATAGTATGTAACTCTTGCAAACGTGAAGTACCTGAAGTGAGAACAAATCTGTGATTTAATGATTAGTCACAACTTGTCAAGCGCAGTCTAGTCTGGTTTTGAACATCCTGGATGAAACCACTACTTAAAAGATAATACCTGACCTCTACGGGTGCAAAAAATTGTTTCCTCTTTCAGCTCCCCGTGCTGCTTACTTGCCTTTCAGATGAGATCGTTACCTAATGATTGCGCTCCGTGTCTTTCTCCGGAGACTTCAGCTCAGAGAATATCTCCCTGATCAGTGCAGCGCAATTGCTATGGAGACGGTCGGTCTGCTGGTGGTGTTGAGGAGCGCTGGGATTTATAACCCGCTCGTGCTCCGCGTGTGTCGCTTTGTGTTTGCTAAATGTGATGACTTGAATTTCCTTCCTGTTCTAGAAACGTTTTTTTTTAGAACCCCCCATATAGATCCTTTCTATATGCTGTGCAAACAAGCCTTCTAACACGCTGTCTTTATTGTTTTGTCTAAATATACACACCTCCTCTTACCCTCCATCTGTTCTGCTTTCCTCATTGGCCTTACCCAGCAATACAATCAATGCATTCCAAATGCTATTGATTTCTCGTCTGACCTTCAGAAATACCATTGTTTGGAAGGATATTCTGCCAAAGGAGGCTCTTGACAAATGGAAGTGCCACAGAAATTGCATCTTGAATAGGAAATGCAAGATAGATGCATAAATGTTCACTCGTTACATCTCATTCTATACATTTAGAAAATAATATAGAAAACAAAATTGGAGTAGAAAATGGGTGTGCACAGTTCTCACTGAAGCAGGATTTCAGCAGCCGTGTATCCAAGTGCACAGTTTGGTCTATGCTGTACAGGTAGGAGGATGTTCTCATCCAAGCATCTCTATCAAATGTAGGCTCCCCTCGTCCTTTCACCTGTGCCAGTCTGCCATGCAAAGCTTCTGAATTCAGGGAAATACCACAATGAAATGAAAACCTAAAGATTCATTTTAGGAGGCTCCTGATGGATTCTCCGCAACCTGAGGAGTGTTGCCGAGTGTGTGAGGTCCCACGGTCTGACCCGAGCCCACCTTTCCTAATCTGCTCTAGTGAAATGCAACAACGAAAAATCAATTTACATTTTTCTCATTAATAATATAAAATATCATCGAGCCATTAGCAAGAGGGAAAAAAATATTTTGAGTGTAGTACTTTTATAGAGGTTATGGTGCTTGACTTCTAGTTACTCTTTTTCATGCTTCAAGCTTGAAAAAATTATCTTCTGCATTAGTTGATGTGGTCTTTCATGCCCTATTTTGTTTTGCTTTGGGGCCTGAATTAGCTTGCCTTTTTTGTTTGTTGTTGTTTTTTTTATATATATATATTTGTCTTGTTTCCTTGTTTCCCTGCCAATAAGATAAATAGCACCTACACAGTTTTGGCAAGAGGGAGTTGCAAGTAAAGCTTTAGGGAACTGAAATATTGTAGTTTTCCATAGAAAAGGAAAAAAACCTGTTTGTGCAGAAGGGTTGAATGCCACCTTCCTGCACCTCCAGCAACTTGCAGAGTCTCTCACCAGACTGTAATGAAAGTAGATTCAATTTCTGGCATGAGCACCTTGCTTGTCCCTCTTCACTGAACTGCAGCGGCCTCGTAATTGCAATGCACCGATGTTACTGAAGAAAATATTCCTGGGAGAAAATTATTTTGAAAGAAAACGTG